GGAAAACAGTTCAGTAAGTTCCGTTTAAGGTACTAAGCTGATACACTGCTGATAGGCTAAAAAAGTTTTCAAGAACAAGAGCATATTGCTGTTAGATCTATAAAGAGATTTTGTTCTGTTTCCTTGTTTGGTTTGAAGGAGAACGCTACTCTAAATGGCGACAGGCGGGAGGGAAACAGTTCAGTAATGGATTTCCGTCCAAAGGTACTAAGCTGATACACTGCTGATAGGCTAAAAAGTTTTCAAGAGCAAGTTAAAGGGGGCTATGTCAGCTGGAGAGCATGCGCTCTGAGGTTATGCAAATTACTTTCAACTGTCAAAATTCTATTGTTTTTAACGCGTGACTTTCTCCATGTGCGCTGTGAGGTTATGCAAAATTACTTTCAACTGTCAAAATTCTATTGTTTTTAACGTGACTTTCTTCATGATATCTGTCACGTCCAAGGTTCCGAATTTAGAGAGGTTTAGCGAAATGGGTTTAGATAAGGGATATTTCGATAGAATTTATGGAACGTTTCTTCTCTGGTTATGCTAGATCAAGAATAAAATTGCGACGACAATTTTACTTGCAGTTTTGAAGAAAAACGCATGCCATTCATAAAATAGAGCGCAAACAAAAATTCAACAACAAAATATTGTCTTATTCAACAAAATAAATGGAAGTTGTATTTTACAAACGAGCTACAAAAGACGCTAGACCGAAGATAAAGACCAAGACTGTTTCAAATCATTAACAATTAGACTTGTCTGTCGCTATTGATTTTATAATTTAGATGCTGATAGAACAAGAGACCAAGTCTTTTGTTTTGATCTTAGGGAAACATACATTATCGCGCAAAATTGTTCGATCGTGCCGAATCACTGCGACGACGTCGAGAAAAACCCAGCATCATTGGTATACTACTCCACTATAAGCAGTCCGTTGATAAAAAGGGAAAGCAAACTCTGCTATTTTCCAAAATTATGCTCCAACACAAACAGTTCAAAAACATGGCATTTACAGGATCTAACTCGTACTAAGGTGCCTCTCTAAGTCCGTTGAGAACAATCTGGACGAGCAAACGGTCGTGTTTATCTTTGCCGTGAATCGAGATAAATACAAGAAGGAATCTAGCCGAATTTTAGAATGTTTCCTTCGCCAGGAGTTTAGTTTCGTCACGAAACTCATGGCCTGATGCTCTTGTAATCGTTTACAAAAGACGGCCGCCGCCAACTCGATAGCCGCTTCATTATATGTCCACATACTTTGAGCACAAGAAAATCCAAGAGCCAGCAGCCTCTAAAATAACTCAATAGAAAGGTCCTGTGAACTATAGGAAGATTCCATCAAAGATTCCATCACTCATTGTGAAGTAGCTGTCATTAACTCTGCCATTACAACGGCCGCTGATAAGAGGACACAGTAAATCCACGTAAAAACATTCCACAGGCAAACAATTTTAAAATAACGCCAAAAAATTGTTCTGTAATCACCATAGAATGATTCTTAATACAAAACTTCGCTAACTATCGAACGATGGCTGAGATTTAGACAGATAAAAACAGCCTTCCAAAATCTCCGACACAACTTGAAAAAGTTGGGCTGTCTTTTTCAAGTTTGTTTTCATTGGCTCGCGCATGCGTGTTGGGTGACATAGCCTGACATAGGCTGTTATATTGCAAAATCTTTATAAGTTGCATTAGCAAAGGGAACGACTGATATACGCGGACACGAACCCCTGGGCCATTTTCAAAAGTTCCATTGCAGCCATTGCTTTTCATAACATATTTCGTCCATTCAGGCTAGCAAAAGGTGTTATTTATCATAAAGAATACTGAATTACGTGTACGTGAGAGGTTTTGAGTGTTTTGATCGGCTGCATGTTGAGGGGGGCATTGGGGGGTACCTGATACCGCAATACCGTAAGAAAAATTGGGAAATACCGAAATTCGACGAAATACCGATACCGCAGGTATGATTGGTCACGTTCTCTACGTGTTTGCCACGTCAAGCATGTATGCACCAGAAATCAACCTCAGACATTGCGAGAAAACATGAGAAGACCTTGAATTGATCAGTTCAATGATTGAAAAGCCCAGTTATTACCATTAAGTCTAAAGTCTTTAACTTTTATTAACCTGTTCCAGCTTACTGTGGTTCGTGCTGCATATTTTATTAACCCGCTGTATTAGACAGGAGAGTGCAAATAAATGGTACCGCCGGCAGCAACACCGTGAAGGATCTTCTCTTACCGAATACCGTTAACAAAAGGATGAAGGATGAAATACCGCTTGAAAAACAGCTCAATACCGCAATATCGTAAACCCTCATGTCCCCTCCATGTTGCTTAGCTAGTTCTGAGTTGATTTGCATTATAACCATAAGGGTTTAACTTGAAAGCTGCACTCTACCTACTTTATCTGGGATGTCAGATTAGAAAAGGATTTTCCATTTTCTATTCCACAATTGAAGCTTTTCTTATCTTCTTCTGCTGACGCTTGAAGCAATAAGTCCGTAAATTTCTCTAGGAAAATTACGATGAATAATTAGCCGTGAGACTTCCTGGGTCATTAGGTATCAATCTATTATTTAAAATTTCATGTTTTTTGTTTGTTTTTAGTCGCTTTGCTTTTTTACTTACCAGTCCAATTTCCCAGAGTCTTGCAGTGAATGGAAAATGAGGGATCATCCGACACAGGACACTGTAGTGAGAAATACGACGTAACTGAGTGAGGTACGTTGAATCAGTGTACCCAACACTTTGCTCACTGTAATGTGTACAAGCCTTTTACAAGAAAGATAAACTGTAAAAAGAATAAAAATTAAAGACTACCTGCACCACAACGCATTAGTTAAACGGCAGTGGTTTGTGCAAGGCCAGAACGGTCCTTTAAATGGATTACTTTTATAAGTCAAGATTGGTTGTTCAGGTTCCGTTGCAAAAGATTAACGTTTTCTTTGGCAGTCGTAGTTCTCTTTACCTAAAACGGTTACAACTCTAGAATTGACGAAGATGTTTGATTAGTTTTATACAGAGCCTGAAACAGGAAGGTCACAAACAAGACCACCATCCTATGATCGTCCAGCAGTTGATTGTTTCCAATAAAAAATGAAAGCGACAGCAGCTGATTTACTCACCTTAGTCAGGGTAAACGGGTGCCACTCGAATGCAGACACATCTGAACATTTAATGAAGACATACTAAAATAAAACAACGTGAAATAAAATCAGAGTTCATTTTTAACTGTATTATTTTAAGTGATAAATGATTCTCGTCAATAATTTTTTTAAATAAAATCTATATATTCTAGATATCTGACAAGGAAGACCACCTGGATAGATGGTGACATTACCTGTCCCGCAGCAGCACTAAAATTACGTTTGCTCATCTTTACTTCCACGACTCCATCCGTATGTTGAAAAACCTATAACAAGTTTTAAGAGATAATTAACAAACAAACAAACAGATTTTGTTACAAGATTAGTTAAACGAGGGAGAATGTCATTTTAAACGCGCGACCCAAAAGTGGCAGGAGACGTTCTGTTTTTATCACCTGAAGAAGATCCACGTTTTGCAAGCTCCTGAAAGTCCGAGTGAGTCGCTCCATTATGTAGATTAAAAGAGGCACAAGGCACCACTTCCAAGCCTGAAAATGACAAAAAAACTCATCAGAAATAGTTTAATCCTTTTGAATTTCACAGAGAGTTATTTTAATTAACAGAGTCAAGTAAGTTTCACAAGAATTCGCAGAAATCACAAATCTGCTTCTTGATATACCACTGGGTCCGTAATGAAGAAAACAGGATGTGCCCCTTTTCTCTCAACGAAAACGCATTTCTCTTATGAAATTTCCGCCAGTAATTTTAATTATCTGCCCAGCTTGTTTTCGAAAGTCGAGTCACGTTTAGCACTGGTCTTTTCAACAAAGCTCATTTATTTATCAGCCCGAAAGAAATACCTGTGCTTCATCAGCTTTAAATACCGGATCCTCAAAACACCATGTCAAATTACTGTTGTTACCACTAATATTATTATTCTTTGTTAGTTTACATCCGGGAGAGTGTAATTCCAGGTTGACTTGACGCTTTATAACTCCCCTTAAAACAAAAATAGCCTATTAGTTACAGAATTTCTAAATACATTACTTTTCAGTAGGTAGTATAGCTCCTAATATCGCTAACTGGACGCAAAATAATACGATCCGCGTTAAAGAATAAAATGTTAAAACTGATTCCGTCTAGAAATAAAACAAATAATCCGTTCTTCCGGGTTCTCGGTCAGTAAGAATCCTCAAAAACCTCAGTAAATATCAGCATGGCACAGAAATGGTTGAGCGACAGAAATGACCAGTGCTCCTATCAATAGTTCGCCCTGGGAAGGGGCGGGGGGGGGAACCAATGGATTGGAATTTAACTTAGTGAAGTGCACGCAGGTAGAGAATTTGACATCCTGAATGTCCCCAGGGTGGAAAATTTGACTCAGCCGCCATCTTGGATAGTGGAGGGGACCTGGGAATGAGTAATAAGTTGTCCGCCATCTTAGAAAATACCCAGTTGTCATTTGGATAAGTTTCCCGCGTTTCGACTTATTTTTTTCTTCGTGAGTGATGGCAGAACGAAAGTTAGGAGTATCTTGTTGCATTTTAAACAAAAAATGTTGTTTCTAACACCAATCAGTGATCTATCTATGAAGTTTTATGACAAAGCAGCTTTGAGAAGAAATATTCGCACAAAACCTCATATCAAAACATGCTTTCTACGTACAGGTTTTCACTAGATACTGCTCTGCCACAAGTTTTCAATAAAGCGAAAGATAAAAAAATCACATGTACAGACATGAAAAAGTCCTGGAATTCTGTGTTAGATTCGCTAGCATACTCTAAATGTCCAATTGAAAGTAATTCTGGACCTCAATTACAAACATCAGTCCCTAGGCATTAGCCTTTCTTGATGATGACATGTTCTGACATTGCACATTTTGTATTGCTGTAAATACTATGTGAAACAATTCACAGGTACTTACGGGAGTATAGTATGTGTGTTAAATTGCCATCCACGCTAAATATCTAACCAGAATATGTCTTCTTCACTTGGGGAAATGCACAAAGTTTGTGGGTGTCACCATATGTCACCAAGTAATTACTCTCTGGAGACGCTGAGTGCCGCAATTAAGTGTTATAAGTGCCTATCATAAGTTCGCTCCAGGGGCGGAAATTTGACTCATAATGGAGAGCAAGGGTGGGAAAATTGACATTGAAAAACCTGAAAAAGTCAAATTTCCTGTAAGTTGCCGCCCCCCACCCCTCTCCCACCACATCCTGGGGCAAACCATTGATAGGCGCATAAAACCGCGTGTGCGGTAACTAACAAATGCGCATGCACGTTAATCTCAAAGTCCAGAAGAACACCACTATTTCATTCGCGACACGATAGTTACTGATGTTAACCTACCCAAAACCATGGACAAACAGCAGAAAAAGAACACGACAAACAGATGATGGGTGTACCAAAAAATATCTCATACGATGCCCGCCTATAAATCAAATAAACGTTACACATTATTACATGGCTAGCCTGACGTGTGTGTGTTTTGTCTCTGCTTAAATATTTACGCCTTTCAGATTAGGCAAGTAATTATGCATTCAATCCTTTTACGGTTTTCTCAAAAAATAACACATTGGTTAAAAGACTGAGATCTAGTCAACAAGTTACAAAACTAATATAGATTCTTACGCTCACCTAACAGCAGGCGTTGATGTCACAATCTGTAAAATTGTAACAATAAATATGCGTAATTGACCAAGTCGTGTTCGGTGAAGATGGCTGGATATTGGCCAATTTCTCTTTCACCAATATACAGCCATCTTCACCAAACAAGCTTGCTCTATAAGGGATTTATAATACGGCTCCGAGATAGTGGTGAAAAGACGTTCAATAAAATAAATGCAAAAAACGAGCGGGGGCTGGGGAGAGACCTTTCCCAAATTGCGCGTGTCTTATTTTCGCGTTGCTCGTTTTAATACGTCCCCATTATACTCTCTGAGATCCTGGCACAAGCTATAATACGGCCAAAAAGAGAACTTTCTCTTGCGGGACCAACGCGGGAAATCCGAGCGGGCAAGATGGACCCATCTTACCCACTCGGGTAACCAATCAGAACGCAGGATTGGCTTGTCCGCTCGTGGATTCATCCGTATAATAAAGAAAGTGACTGTCATTAGAATTACAAGGTAACAGATTATACGAGAATTACCAGCAAATTACATCCTATAGTGCTCTATTAATCAGCCCTTGAATTGATCGATTTAACAGTACCAAGGGTCAGTACTAATTACACTTTGCATGGAAAAAAGTGCAGGATGCGAATTGATGAAAGGACCAACTGCCCTCCTTTCTCTGACTAACCTGGTGGTATTGCCGGGGAAAACTCTCTGACTGACAGACTACTGACCGCGAAAACGGGTGCGAAAACCAAATGAAAAAGCAAGTGCGTCGGGGAGAATTCATTGATTCCTTCAACCGAGAAGTACTTTGGAAACATCATATTGTAATGATTGTCTATACTTTAATGAGTAACAACTGACTGATTGAATGACTGACAGGCTGACTAGCTGACTAATAACAGATACGCTGGCTGAATGATTGGAAGAATGCCATTGACTTTCTGCCAAAAACATTTACGTAAACAATTAGTCGCCTGAGGCGACGTCAATATTGGCGAATAGTCACCGAGACAAAGTCGAGGTGACTATTCGACGATATTCACGTCTCCTGAGGCGACTAATTGTTTTAGTATAATTACATTGATGATTATTCGACAAAATAAAATTATTGATCAATTTCCGACTCTGAAACATCAATAAAATCTGGCTACCATTTTGAAAACGGATAAAGCGAAGCTCCTAGCCAATCATAGCGCTCTATTTTCGACAATCATCAATTTAATTATACTAATATTGTTTAAAATTAATGCTTCAGAGGGTTATTACATTATACGTACCATAGCAAGAAGGACCATCACCATTAATAATCCTGTTAATCCTGCAACTGAAAAGGATATGCGATATAAATTTCATAAAGTGATTAGACTCTAACGATCTGTGTCGTTGCTGTCCATTCCGTTTTATTGGTAAAGTTGGTCAAGCTTTTGTTTCAAAAGTAAATAGCACTTCGAGACGACTCAAGGGAAACAAAATTTACTAATTTCTCCAGGGTCAAATCACTAAATGAAGCTCATCAAGAAAAACCTCCACGTGTACAAATTTATGATTCAAAGTAAATCTCGTCGCGCGGGTAACTTTCGCTGGTACTTGCACTATTGCCAACTAAGGTCATAGACTTTTGCAATGTTCTCCTTAGAGACTATTGGCGGGAAACACAAAGGTGTCATGTGACCCCGAAGTAAGGAGATCGCGTGCTGTTTGGTAAAAAAATATTCCAGCCATATATTCAAAAGTTATGATTTATTGAACCAAGCTCAGTACATAAACCAGAAAACCTCTAAGTTTGGTCTTTGTTTTCATGTAAAAGTAACTCACATTATGTCACGTTTATAAAGCTAAGTGCGCCAGCCCAACCTAAATAATTTCAGGAGAGAACCTGTAAATAAAAAAACTCACCTGAGGTAAAAACTAGCTCTAAAGGCTCCTGAAAATAAATAAATAAATAAATAAATAAATAAATAACTGAATATACCAACAACCAGGAAGTTGATTAACTAATTAATGAACAAGCTGTTTATGGGTCAGCTGATGGGTGATAGAGTCAAGTTAGTTAATAGTGATCGCTAGTGATTTTTTTCATAAGCACTCACTGCGTTGTTATTCAGTGGTAGGTCTATTTGTCGATCATTTGTTTACTTCTCTGTGATATCCGCTTTAATACAGCCTAACTCACCTGGTTGTGATAGGAGGCAAAGTTTAAATCCCTGAACTTTAAACTGTAATTGACGGAAAATCTCTTGGCATTTATAACATGAGCTACAATGTGAGTACCTGATAACAGAGAAAAATATATTTAGCTTGGACAATTGCTTGAGTTTTTTGTTGGTTGAAGAAAAGAGGTTCCTGGAGGGAACCCAGAGCCTGTCGTTTCATCTGGTTACTGGTCATATGGTCTTTTGAAGCGAGGATCGTTACAAATTAAGCCGAGTGGCTCTGGGGACAAGAACGTACCAGTCGACACGATGATACCAATTGCGCATGCCTTGTGAAACCAGACATTTCTGTCCAAAACGCGTCTGAATACACAGCCAATAACCTGCAAGTATATCCATATTTAGGACAAATTTAATTTTGATCAACAAAGTAACAACCAAACGTCAGATTAAAACAAGGACCAAGTTTTAGAATTTTGAGCAGCTAACCCTCACTGACCCTCACTGGTTTGTTATTGTGGTTTACCTTCACAAGTGTTTCTAAAACAAGGACGCTTACCGCCACTGCCCATGTTATATGGCTGTGTGCATACGTTAGGTGCTGATCATATCGCGTAGTTTGGTAGTGTGGAGGTGCTTCAAGTTGCTACATCGGTCTTAAATACATGTATATAACCTGCTCTATCAAATAAAACGAGAATGCTGCTACTGCTGATAATGATAATGATGATGATGATGATTTTCGGCTGTGATTAGTGTGACGAAGTCGTCTAGTAGTGAGCATCAGAGGTAAGAACGTCTGTAAAAGGGTTTGAACTCACCTTAGCCCTGATTAGCGCCAATGTATTGCGACACATGGGAAGCAACACAAGGAAACAATTAAGGCATAGAACCGAGGCTGAACCTCGCGACCAACACAAGCTATCCTATAAAAAAAGAAAAATAATAATAAAAATTGAGAGTTTTACTGCCTGAGCCTCAGTTGCGGACTAGTAGCAGTCAGTGGATTACACTGGGTATGATATGAGAATGCGGATAACACCCGAGAATTGCTTTATTCTTCAAATCATAAGAAAGACGGATCCAACAATTGCTTTAGTATTCATTACAATAAAGTTTAGATATAACGCGCACACTGACTGGTTGAAAAGCGTGCCTTCTGAGAGTATAAAACACGAAGCTAAAGCTGTCGCGCCATCTGTTTGTTTTCAAATTGTCATGTTGATAACGAACAGGGTGTTTTTGAGCCACAATTTGGCCGGATTTATTTGAGCATTTTACCTGATTTTTGGACGTCAAAAGTACATTCTTATGCATTCGACTTCACAGAACGTTTCGCTCGTTTTCCATTGTGATAACATTTAACAGCTTTGACAGCTTTTTAATTATTCAACCAATCTAATCATTCAGTGGCCAATTCTAAATTAAAACAGAATGATTGTGATTGGCTTAAGCGTGCTAAAACATGCTTCGCTTTGATAATAACGTTTGCTTTGAAAATTAAAAAGTGATGCATGGGAAATTAACGGATTCTTTATCATCAAAAGTTATAAAACAAATAAAGAAGCCTTTGACTGTGCTTTGTTGTGTTGCAAATCTCTTAGTTGGGAAGCAGCTAGAAAACTCAAAAAGTAAGGAGAAACACGAGAAGTAGTCGAGTGTTTGTCCCTACTCTTCGTTCCTGCTCTAGCCGCTTCTTGTGTGCTTTACAACAAAAACAGAGCACAGTCAAGGATTCTTTATTTGTTAATTCAAATCTGCATGCCCGCCATGGATTATCCAGCTTTTCATAATGCACTACTAAAAAAAGCTGACCCATCACACCACTTATCTGTATGTCAAACTGGACATTGATAAAGGCAGACATCTTCCAAATCATGGTTAACATCACCTGGTTATGACGAATTAGCCTGAACATTCATGCCAGTCAGAAATTTATGAAATATTTTAAATAAATAATAATTTGTATTAATTGCAACAGCACTTACCCCTAACATGGTGTACAAATATCGATACTCAGAAGAGTATCTGTATTTGTAGAAGAAACGTAGAAACACCAGCACATTGATGGCAAATATTATCGCCTGCGAAACAAAGTTAAAGTCAATAAAAAAAATCATACTGCATTGGAAAGTCAAGGGGTTCAAACCACTACCTTTAAAAGCAAATTGGATAATTTACGCTTTCAAAGGAAAGACATTTCTTTCTTTCCGGATCCCCAGAGCTGATCAAAAATGACATTTTATGTACCAAAAACACTTGTTCATAGCTAACATTTAGATGTGAACATCTAGATATGAGTCACTTACTTACATGTGTTTTTGTACAGACATTGCCGCCCAATCTAAATTTGACGCGGGGCGTATTCTTTTAAAATCCGGGGACGACGGGGGGAGGGGGGGATGCAAAAGAGATGGGAATGTTAGTCGCAAAAATAGAGGAAATTCTGATAAATCCCGGAAGAAAAGCAATCTGGACGAGACTCATGCTTTGAATGACCACAGACAGCCAGCACATGAGAGCTATAGTAATATTAATTCAGGTAGTAAGGCTGCAGCAGAATGCGTGGCCCTTCTTTCTTTCCACCTTTCCTCTTCTGCTTTCTTAATTCCTTTAGTACAGTCCTTAGTAGTGATACCTGGCTGCCTTAATTTATAGTAGACTCGTCCGGCACACGCCCTACCTGATATAATCCCAACAATCTGCAGTTTAGAAGAGACGACAAGTATCCGCACCCCTGTCAGACGGAAGTGTTCCCAAATAGGCCATTTCCGAGTTCCCCAGGCCTCTGTATCAAAACGACGTTAAGTCCTCAGCCTTTGATATGGAAATGATATCTCATTCTCATGCATGTAAAACTCATTTTCACAAGAAAAGTTGCGCACTTGGCCTCATTTTGAAAGTGAGGGTTTTTGGAACTAGGAAGTGGCCTATTCTAACGCAGCACTGAACCTTCGTCCAAGATAGTCGTGCAGTCGTTAGGTAAAAAGTGATGCGAAAAACACGCGGGGGCTGGAAAGAGAACGGGCCTCGATTCGCGCCCGTCTGATTTTCGCTGTGCATGTTTTATTTTCGCGACCTCCCTACTATCTGAAAGCGTGACACAAGCTAAAGCTGACCTTTCTTAAGATTTTAGTACCATTGGCAGGTTATTGCAATTGTCACAATGCGCCCGTCGAAAGGGTAACTGTACTCGTCGCTCTCATTTCAGGTTGAGGGTTGCCTGTTAACCGAATCGACGATGCTGAAAAAACGTCTAAGATCTTGAACTTCGCGAATACTTAGGTATAAGGAAGCCAGTGAGTTCATTTTATGTGCGATTATATTTTTTGATATTATTTATTGTTTTTTTAGGCCAATCAGTAAGCTATGCTAGTCCCACCCGTTGCAAAACCAGGTGTCCAATATTTTTTGTTTTCTTTTCACTGTCACATAATTAATGCATTAGAAGACTGATTAGGGTGTGGGCTCAGCTATAATCGCCGCGTTTTGTAAACACCAGGCATAGTTTCCTGACCAAGCCCTGCTTAACTACTGAAACTTCCTCTTTTTGATAAAAAAGACATAATTGAGCTACGCGTATAAACCACAAACAAACCAAGTTGAAATGTTCGAGCTTACTATATTCATAGATGACGGCCAGGGAGTTTACGAAAACGCTTTTTATTAATCGTTCTTAAATCATTACCACCGAATTTTGTCGACAATGCGTTATTTTAGTGTAATTCAATTTCACATTCATAGGTATATACCTTATTATAAGCTATTATAGAGCTTACTCACAGTGCCGTGGCAGTTAAAGCGGTTTTAGCACTAATATAGGACTTTATCAACTGAGGCAACTGAGTTTCAAAAAAAAAGATTAAAAATGAAAAAAATTGAAGATTTACATTAATAAGCTTACAGTTTTACAATGAAAGCTTCAAATTAATATATGTGTATGGCAAAATGAAAAAAGGGAAAATGGATAAAGATTTCATTGTTTTAAAAATACTTTCGGAACGGAGAACAAATTGACTGTTTCTGAAATGATGGTGATCGGAATTTTCAGCTGTTCCGGACCTGATGAATGCTTTACACTTTTGTTGTTCATTGCACCGAAAACTCAGAGTAGGTCGACTGACCTAAGGAAATCACTTTCTTATTAGCTTCCGCTCAAAATTTAAATTTTCATAATAATACTGTCCAACCAACAACAAAATACTAAGCCAAGCAATTCGATATCAATTAACGATTGCTATCAATCCAAGTTGCCCATTTTACTTCAAAATCAACCTATCGCTGGTAGTGGCTTACATGGCAAAAGCATAATAATTTCCACGATTTTTAGTCAAATTAAAAAGAGAGGGTGCATTTTCCGATACAGAGAATACAAAATCTTGTTCTATAAGCCGGTGTTTTCTTGTCAATACATGTACTGTATCACTTTTGAGAACGTTGTCCTTGAAAAAGAAGATCAGCTTTTATCATTTTCAATAGCTTGCTATAAAATCACCATTAACGTAATTGTTTAATTCGGCAATGTTAAACGTGATGACATTAAGAGCTACTTGAAGATGATTGTGATGCCTTCGTACACTGTCTCAAAGGTTATAAGTGGGTGACACTGTCTGTATTGGCTATCAGTTAGGGAAGGATACCAATACTGGATTTGGCTTCGAAGATTAGCTTATAAAAATATAGAGCTAAATTAGAGCTAAAAACATACTCACCGGCCCGATAAATTTGCTTAGAAATCCGGCAAGGAATCGATGCAGACATTCTCTAACCTTAATCACTTTAGTCATCTTCCAGATACTCACTTCTCGCGGGAAACCGGCGTGCTCAAATGATCTAGAAACAAGACCAGTTAGTAATGATATTGAAAGTAGAATTCTAGACACATTGACGACGAATACACAGACGAGGGGCGCGGAGAGTATTTGAATCTAAACGTCAGTGGGACAATAAAAACTCTTTTGTCTGCCTGAAGAGAATAATAACAACCAAGCTTCCGGTTGGCTAGATGGGCGTTTTAAAACCCTTTGTTGTCGGCTCCGGTTCAATGTTTCACGTCACCACTACCGCATCTCAGTTGCCAACCAGAGACAATTTAGAATCTCTTCGGCTTCCACATAATACAACAATGAATGAAAATGTATTGAATAGATATAACGAGTAGAGGGGTGGCTAACCGCAGGGGGGCGGGGGGGGGGAGGTTGTTCTGGATTTCATCAAACGGGGGCAAAAATCAAAGCCCAAAAATCAAAAATTCCTGATTACCCCCCTCCGCCTGGGATATAATAGCCAGTAACCAACCGGAGAGAGTTTGGCATTCGCAGCTGAGCCTGTGTACAGCCGCCTCCTTGTATGAGGGGAGGGGGTGGCTGTACACAGGCTAGCTCGCAGTACAATAAAAGGTCAAGCAACCCTGTCAGCTTAAGACAAACCGGTAATGTCAAAAATTGGGGGTATAAAATAAAACACAAAGCAAAAGAGCCAGTTATAACAACACAAGTTCCTCATCCTATGTGTCCTATATCTCGATAACGTTAATGGCAGGGTACTAGAAGCCAGTATTCAAGAATCTCAAGCATGTAAAGGCATGATGAACCAAAGCCTATTTGGATAAAAGCTGCAAAGAGTCATAACTTTAAGAGAATTTACGTAAACATGATGAATCTTGGTAATAACATAAAACTTGACATCCTTAAGTCGGTGTTCTTGTTTGAAAGGGGAATTTTTGTGTCACGTTACTCATTACAGCAGTTTTCTTACTTGAAGAGAAAAGTGAAAATGAGCCGCCGAGATGACATGTAATGGGTATATGTTAAAACACCAACGTAATTGTCTGGTTTCTCCTCTTAAGAATCTGTCCAAAAGGAATAAGTTTAAAAATTAGGTCACGTGACCATTTTATTATAACTTCTTAATAAAATGAGATTTTTCTTCGTTCAGGACAGAATTGAATTTATTTATGTCAATGAATACTGTATGGTTCTTTGCCTGCCACAGTTAAACGCCATTAGCCCATTTCATTTTCCTCTTTTTCTTTAATCATGACGTCATTAAACACTCGTGACCTCGGTTAAAAAATGTCAAGGATGTTGAATTATTTCTGCTTCCTACTTCAAATGGTCGAAGGAGCTCCTAAAAATAACGCTACTTCTATTAAGGAAGCTAATTTCTTCGTGGCGGGTCCAGGGTCAGAGAAAGGACCTTGCCTTGAACATGCTTGACAATTGTTTCTGTTTTTCTTTTCTGAGACTTGCAGTCTCAATCAGTTAGAGACAAGCTCTCAAGTAAAAGATGAATGGACGGATCACACTATTCTTTAGACTACAAATAGTCCCCATTTTTCCTCAGGCATAATAAAGCGCGCGTACGCTCGCCTTTCTCGAGTGTGGTGATTTTCACGCGCGCTCGCGTTTCTCTCGCTCGACTATCCCTGAGGGAAAATGGGTACTACTCGTAGTCTAACTATTTTTTTTTTTTTGAGGTACCTCTAACTCTATCGACTATAGGAGACTCTAAATGGGGTAGTAGCTTTGATTGACAGTTACTTTTTTTTCCAATTTCGACGGTTGACGGCAAAATTTTAAATAGGGCTTAAGACGGTTGACGGTTATTTAGTGAAAATTTAGTTCAATAGTTGAAGTAGTGATATATTTATATTTAGCTGTTGTGTTTTGGAGGTTGCCTTGGCCTTTCACTTCACAAAATTTCCAAATATTTTAAGATATAGCATAGTTGTAAGCTCTTGTAGTGTCCACAACTACATAAACACTTTAACAGAAATATCTACACTTGGTTGTTGTCTCTGACCTATCCTTTGAAACTATTTTTTTCTCTGTCAGTTTCAACGTCCAAGATGGCGGGACAGTATTAGTCCCGAAAAGAGTATGATCATGGTTCGCTCCACAAAAAACGCCTGGTTTGCAGGCTACTGTGACGGTACGTCACAAATTCTCCATCTTTTGGTGCAGCCTCGTACCCAGGCCAGTTCGCGCTATCCGAGTTACCAGAGGAGGCTTGGAACCGAGTGCGATAGCGCGAGTCCTCGGTGAACTTTCCCGACAAGCTTCACAGGTGACGTCACATCCGAAATCGCCGAGGAGGACTGGGAACGAGGCTGCTTTTGGTGAATGAAATCGGGCATGACGCCGCATGGAACTATGGTCGGTCAACTTTACATTTTCATTTTTCTTTTTTTTAATAAATGCCCTTTTAA